CTAGAGAAGACTATGCAGAGGGGACATTTGGAGCAGAAGGGAGCTGGAGCATTCTGTAAAGAAAACATGAACCAAGGTCTTGATGGGATGGAGAGGAGCAGGTTTAGAACTGAGATAAGATCAGGGTGAAGCTAAGTTGGAGGAGAGAGAGAAAGAGAGCAGCATGGGGAGATGGATATGCAGGTCCTTATTGAGTCTAGTGTGAGGTGTTTTAATTTTTTTTTTTAAGTGTGATAAGAAACTAGCACTGGATTGTAATAAAGGTATCACAGCTGAGTAGGGCATGGTTGAAGGATGTGGATATAGGAAATCAGTTAAGAGGCTGCTAAACTAGGCTAGGAGAGATTGTTGGTGGCTTGGACCAGTGTGGTAGCAGTTGAGAGGGAGAGAGGTAGATGGATTCAGTAAATATTTTGGAGATAGGATGAATGAACTTGCAGGTGGGTTGGATGTGTGAACAGGGTGAGGAGGATTTCAGGAGTGGCCAACGAGGTAGACATTGCAGCTACTTAGTAAAGACTGGAGGCCTATAAGATGGCTTTTTGGGGAAAGTAATCTTTCAGACTTAAGTTTGAAACCGAAGTGGAGAAGTCAGGTAATCATTTGGATATATGGGTCTGTTTTTCAGAGAAGAGGTTTCATTTGGAGACATAAATATTGGAGACATCAGTACAGAAAATGGAATTTAAACTAAGAAGTGGATGAGATCATTTAAGACAGTATAGAGAAGGCAGATTTCTCAGGAGCTAACCTTGAGGGCCTCCATTGTTTAGATACTGGGGAGAGAAAGAGACTGATAAACAGTTGGCAGAAGGAAAACCAAGAGCATGCGGTGCTGCGAGCAAGTGAAGAAAATATTTCAGGGAGGAGGGAGTGGTCCACTGGGCCAAATCCTCCTCGAGATGATGAGTAAGGGAATGGTGGGGCTAAGGGAAGCACCAGAGTTTATTTTATTAGATAGGATATAGGATTAAGTTGAACCATAAGAAATTGGTGACATTGGACTATTTTTGGCTTATGAGAATGGCAACTTCATATAATTTGACCTAATATAATATGTTATACTATTGCGGATGAGTTGCTTTTAGAAGGCGAGTTTGATGAAGCAGTGTTGAGGGAGTTTAACCAAAAGAATACAGCCTTTGAGCAATTGGGAGAGATGGGTTTGGAGCTCACCAGTGGAGTGTTGGTCTTTGAAGCGGGGCAGGGAGGCACATATTTTTTCAGTTGTAACAGGAAGGAAGAATGATATGCACATTCAGCCATGCTTGAGTGATTACAGTGATGCCAATCCCAGCAGCTAGTGTCTTATATGGGACAAATAATTATATAAGTTTTTGGATTTAGCAGTTAGGTGTATATAGATTGATTTTGTTCATAGGGCGGTGTGGGTACTGATCTTGGTTTGCTTGTAGTAGGCTCTAAATTTTCTCTCAAAAGTCTTTGCTATCAGTGATTTATTTATTTTTTCTCAGTTTTTCTTTTTCACCAGAAGCAGAGTAAATCAAATATCATGACCTCCTTCGCCACTCCTTGGCAGTGCAACACTGTGGCCTCCCTGTAGAACTGATTAGCAAATCAAAAAATAAAGTGGTTTTCTCACAAGTGATTTTCTTGCCCTACAGAAAATTGTCTTTTTCAATATTACCATCAGCATTCTTTGACTTGTCAGCATAACTGAAACATTATCTATGATTTCTGTTACTTTAATGCAGACTACAAGTGTATCTTTTTAAGGTCATATCGTGCTTCTCTGTTGTGTGTACAGAATTTGCTTATGGAAGTATGTATATTTCAAGAATTTTAGCTGTTTGTAGCGAGACTTTATTCCACTGCATAATATAGTTTAAAAAATGATTTTCATTAGACCATTATGCTAACATATCTCTAGGCCACAATTTTCTCCATGGACTTATTAATTCAGTACAGAATTCCAGGTACTGATCATTAATTGTATCTTTAAAGCTACAATGAGATTGAAAGTCATCTTTAATGCCTGCAGGATCTTTTTTCATGGAACATCCATCGCCTGTAATGTTTATTTTATATAATACTCTCGTCCATGGGTTTTGGGACTGTGGCCATAGTGAGAATATTCGCAAAAGGAGGCTCTTTTTCTCAGTGTGTTCTTTTAAGCTATAGGTGGCTTTGCTATGTGCATGCCTCCAAAATTATCTTTTCCCGAAAGTACAGAAAGATCTGGAGAAACATGGGCACCAATGAATTAATTTATACATTATAAGTGTCTGATAAAACACTTAGCATCTTTAAAAGCTCTGCGATGGTGGTATTTTAGACTAAGCTAAGGTTTTATTTTATGGAGGTGTGTAGCTTTACCGCAGGCAAGACAAGGCAACATGTTCTAATTCTGCTTGGATTCAGGGGAACTTGATTTACTGTTGTTACCTGCTGCGGTAGAAATTGCAAGCATCACATGAAGTAGGCTTTTATCTTCAGTATTGGAAATATTCAACGAAACTCGTCAGTGGTGATTTCAAAAAGCCTCAGTCCGGGGTGTTGTGATAATGAGTGAAGAAAAGTTTTTCCCTTATTTCAGACAGCCTTTGATAGCATGTCTGTTTAAGAAATTAAATACAGATTAGTCAACTGTGTACCTAACTCTCAAATATTTTTAGCTTCTTTGGGTGAACTTTGGGTTAGGCCAAGGGGCCCCCTTTGGTCTTTCCACGAGAGCCAATCGACCAATATGGATGTGTGCCTATAGAGAAAGATTTGTAGTGTAATATTGCTCAATTGCTGACCAGCAACCTCCATCGTTCAACTAGCTTCTTTGGACCCTGAACTAGTGTGTCAGTGATCCATCAGGTTTCATTTGTTTTGCCATTTCTAGTCAAGGACTGATCCATATTCTCTCTCTTGCTTTTCACGGGGGGAAGTGAGGCTTGTCTTGCAGGATGAGTTCTTTGCTAAGACCTTGCACTTTCTGCTTCTCTATACATTGATGAACAGGCTTGAGTTCTCCCTTGTAGGACATGGCACCCCACCCTAGAGGTGACAGTTGCCTTAAAGGACTACAGTTCTGACCTGTAGGGGGCTCTTTCTATCATATGTGTCTAAGTAGAGAGGCCTGTGAGAGCATCTTTCAGGTCTGAGGAGGTCCATGGCCATCTTGTGCTCTTTGTTTCTTCAACGTCTAGGCTTTGGGTATTCATCTCCAGTGTTGTCTCTCCCGCTCACCCTCAAGGTACCTTCCTGCTGGTTTGCTTCTCATCTTGGCTATAGTAAGTCCCCTACATACGAACCTTCAAGCTGTGAACTTTCAAAGATGCGAATGTATTATAAACTTACTACAGTACAGTGCTATCAATATATAGCCGATTGTGTTAGCTGGGTACCTAGGCTAACTTTGTTGGACTTACAAACAAATTGGACTTACAGACGCGCTCTTGGAATGGAACTCATTTGTATGTAGGGGACTTACTGTACTTTTTTTCTTATTCCAAAGTATCTCCCTTAGTCCCTTCAGACTTCTGTCACCTCTCTCACAGTTTGCTAAAGTGGTCTTCTCTTGGTAGATAGCACTCTTTTGATTTCTCCCCACCCCTTGCTGAACTGGCCAATACTTGGAACTTGAATCTTTCTTATTCTTGGCCTCCCCATTACAAAATCCACAACCACTCATAATGGACTAAAGAAGAGTATAAATACCCTTAACCAGTTTTTTCCATCTTGATTATGGCCTTCCTTATGTATTTTTTTTATCAAAAGAGGATCATTCATGTCATACATGCTACGTTTTTCATACATACTATTTTAAAACTGGGTTTTCTTCACTGTATCTCCTGAAAGTAACTTCCCAATATTTCTTTGTTTAAAAAAATTTGTATTTCTAACTTTTTAGCGACTGAAAACTGTTTCATGATATTAGATGTATCACTTGACCAGTCCTTCACTTTGGGACATGTAGGTGTTTTTTCTTCTTCTTTTCCTTCCCCCTTTCTGTCTTCCTGTTATTTACTGGTGAGAGAATTTTTGTTTCTGGGTGTACGGATTTGTTTATTTTCTATGCATATATTTTATTAAACCTTAATGTGGACATTTTTGGGGTCATAGCGCAGGCTATTGCTATTGCTGTGGCACAAATGCAATGTCACCTTGTGTATTCAGACAGGGACCCATATCTAATGCACATCTGTTTTTCCAGCATGTAGCCTTATGCCTGTACAGTGGGTGTTCACTAAAGAATTATTGTTGAGTTGAAGAAATGTGAGGGCCATGTGATAAACATATAAGTACTATGTATTTGGGACCCAAGATATAGGAGTGAACAAGACAAAGATTGTCATTGCTCTCATAAGTTGAAGGTTTATTCTATATAGCATGGTTTATGTTTAGAGGTGGCAAGCCTCTACATGTGAGGATCAATTAAAAAAACTGAAAGATACACAGTATAGTAGAAGCAATCTAAATGACTTACAGTACAGTTGCTTGGGGAAGGTTCGTGCCAATCTTTTTCATAATATAGCTAATTAAGAATTGACTAGTTGATTTTTCTATTGATGATAGTTCTTCTTTAGGATTGTTCACTAGTGTTACTGATTGAAATGGAATGATCTTTTTTAGGTTCATACATTTTTGCTCTTATCAGTAACTGGAATCAATTATAGTTAAATTTAAAATTTCATAGCTGAGTATAATATGGTGTTATACTTAGTGATTTTAGAGACCTGAAGATCTTTTAGGGCTGGGTTTGGGGTAATAGAAAATATAGCCCCCAATATTTTTGGTCTTTCTGTTGCACATTTTAAAATATGACTAAACAAAGATTGCAGCCATGGAGAAGATTTTCTGCTGTAAATTGGTGTTTTAACAGCCAGCTGTTATGCGTTCATGCATTATGTGATCCAACTTATAAAAGTGGATAGTGAAGGGAGAGTAGCTGCCCTCTTGGTCAGGCACATAGTTTAAAAAAAATGTTGTGTGTCTCTGCAGAGCTATATTAGAGTTTCATATAGCTGCCTTTTTCTTTTTTATTGTAGGGCCAGCTCTCAATGTTGCAAGAAAAAATAGACCATTTGGAACGTTTGCTAGCTGAGAATAATGAGATCATCTCAAATATTAGAGACTCGGTCATCAATTTGAGTGAGTCTGTGGAAGATGGTTCGAAAAGCTCAAAAGGCAATTTCAGCCAAGGTGCCGGCTCACCTCTTCTGCCATCGAAACAGTTGTCTCTCACAGTTGACCCTGGAGACTGCCTGTTTGCTTCACAAAGTGGAAGTCAGAGTTCAGATGTGCAGGTAATGTGTGCATTCGTTAATAATCACTGGGCTTTTATTTGTTTTTGTTTTTTTAGATTTGATCTGGTATCTGTTCTTAGTTGCTGAATTCTCTGGATTATCATTTCTATTTTTGTAAAATCATTTGATTAGTCAAATGATCATTAATGTTCTTTTTAGTGATAAATTTCTGTAATTCTGTGTTTCTCCTAATTTTTCTTATTTTATACTTCCTGACTATGGCCTTTTCTGCATGCTTCTTAGGTCTTATTTTCTGTAATAGTTGAAGACCTTCAGAGGTTTAAATCTGGCCAAAGAGATTTTTTTTACCTTCCTTTGGAGAGTACCAGAAAAGCCCTACTCTTAGTATATATCTGTTCTACATTATAGGTTTCACACAGTGTAAGGTTAGATTCTTTTTACTGAATATGCCTTTGTGAGAGGGAAGGGAAATGTTCTAAAGCTGTGCTGTCCAGGATGGAGGCTGCTGTCCACCTGCAGTTAATGAGCACTTCAAGTGTGGCTGATTTGAATTAAGATGTGCACTAGTATCCACACAAAGTGTTGAAGAGTTAATGTGAAAAAAGAATGTAAAATATCTTGCTCATTCATTACATGTTACGATGGTAAAATTTCAAATATATCAGGTTAAAAAATATATCATCAAAATTAATTTTACCTATTTCATTTTACTAGAAAATTTTAAATTATGTATTTGGCTTGCATAATATTTCCCTTGGGTAGCACTGTTCTAGAGGGTAGGGGAGTTGAAAACTAAGGTAAGAAAGGACTTCTGCCTTTCTTAAACTTTCGGTGTGTCACTCATGTTTGCTCTGTTCTACAGATTGGCAAAGAGCTATTTTACCGTTGTACCTTAGACTGGAAACTGGAACTTGGTGACAGGACCCTGGGGTGTGAATATTTTAAAGTTGGACAAAAGAAGTTGGCTCTGGCCTTGCTTCAGAGTAGAAGTTTTCATTAACTCTTGGGGACAGAGAACATGATATGATCTCGAAGCCATGGCTCACAGGCCACGCAGGAAGCTGGGGACAGTGGAGCTGCCCGGGCTGCGTGCCTACAGCCTCATCAGCCTAGTGTGTGGCCAGGTTCAGATAGGATCACGATCCTGTGCTTTGAAGGGGTATCTATTTCTGTGAGGCTTGGCTTTGTTTCGGTTTTAATTAAGTACCTTTTAAAGGGAAATGATAAAATCTTTTTTGGGGGGGAGGGGAAGGGTCTAAATCTGAGCTGGACAGAAAGGAGCTGCAGAGCAGCCATGGAAATGAGGCAGAGCAAGGCAGCAGGGTACTGGGAAAGCTGCAGGGCCCCAGAAAGACCTGGAAGGAATAGCAGAGAGTGCTCTCACATCCTCTTATCCAGCTGGTTACCAAAGATTTGTTTCATCCTTGGGAGTATTTTATTTTAGTTACAAACTTCCAAGTGAAAGATATATTATTGTCTTAAAATACTTTGTATTCACTTTTATATGACTTGCTTATCTTAAAAAAATTTTTAACCCATTTATGTATTTATTAGGATGTAATTTTTTAGTTTGAATTTTACCAAAGGAGGTTTGTGTTCCTTGTTATACTTACTATTTTAAAGAGTATGAAAAATAAGTTTTTAGGTTTGTTTGGCTTTGTTTTTTGGTAATATTTTTTTCCTTTTTGTCTAAAAACATTATTATCTAGAAGGAACACTACATTGGAAACTTAGAAAATATTTGAACACTAAAAGCTAAATCTCAATGTAAAAAATGCTTCCATTTTTAAACCTAGTTGACCCTGTTATAGTTTTATTTTTAGAATAAAAAAGGTAAACATACATAGGCAAAATTAAAGAATAGCTACAGATCCATTTCCATTCAGATTCAGATACATAGGAGATTGATTATAATATAAAGACGAAGTATAAAATAATTTTCAGTACCGTGTTTGAAAATGCTAAAATACTTGATCATGATGAAATTTTTTTTTGTTTGCTCTTCAGTTCCCATCATTTTCTATTAAATTGTATTGGAAGTAAAGCAAGGGAAGAATTGAATGAAGATATTTTGTATTAGAAGCAGAAGAGGAAGGGGATTATTTATCAGGTTAATTATATAATACAAAAAGCATTTTAACCCTTTGAATGGTGATGAAATATTTTCTGTCTTAAACTCTTTAGATAATGTCTACAGAAATAGTTTTATCTTTTAAAATATATATACAGTATAGCAAGGAGTAGTTTTGAGCAAATATTTCCAACATTAAGTTTAAATTAATAATGGTTATACATGATTAAATTTAACTTTTTTTCTTTGTCTCATATTTTTAGATGTTAGATGTTTACAGTCTAATTCCTTTTGACAATCCGGATGGTGGAGTTTGGAAGCAAGGATTTGACATTACCTATAAAGCTGATGAATGGGATACTAAGCCCCTTCAAGTCTTTGTGGTGCCTCATTCCCATAATGACCCAGGTAAAATTAGTACTTCAAAAACCTAGAGGTTAATAAGCCCTTGTAGGCCCAGAGTATTTTAATGAGAATCTGGTATAACCCACTTCTCATATATTTGAGACGTTATTCTCTGACTTTTAACAAAAACATATTTATTTTATATGTAGTTGTGTTCTCATTTTATCAGTTTATGAGCCATTCAAGGATAATACTTGTATAGTATGAAATAGGAATAAACACAAGAAGGTCTTAGCTGGCTTCCCTGGTGGCGCAGTGGTTGAGAGTCCGCCTGCTGATGCAGGGGACACGGGTTCGTGCCCCGGTCCGGGAAGATCCCACATGCCACGGAGTGGCTGGGCCCGTGAGCCATGGCCGCTGGGCCTGCGCGTCCGGAGCCCGTGCTCCGCAATGGGAGAGGCCACAACAGTGAGAGGCCCGCGTACCGCAAAAAAAAAAAAAAAAAAAAAGGCCTTAGCTTTGGGAGATGAAAAGTTACATGTATTTAAGGCACTGATAGTTCATTTTAGTTACTTCTTACGTATTGTGTGGGAGAATTATTTCATGTCCATAAACTCCATGTTAGAAAATGCAGAGTGCTCATGGGAAAGTTTGTATCTTTAAAATGTAGAAAAAGTCTAAAGTGGTTAAGAGCCTTGATGTTAAGCAGACATGAGAGTGAGTCCCAATCCCAACAGTGTTAAACAACTTTAGGCCAGCTTCTTAACATGAGAGTAAGTTTTTTCCTAGGTGGAATCAGGCTAAAGTACTTACTTCATAGGGTAAAATGTTAAAGGTATGTTACACAGCCCTAGAGTAACTGCTATCATTATCATTAATGTTATTATTCTTTCATATAACAACTTTTGTTATTTACTGGGGCCAGAGATTTTCCCCCCAAGGTAAAGGGAAGTTGCTAAAATGATGATGGGAAATATGATTCGATGTTTATCTCTGTTAGTGTGAGGAACAGGCACTGAGTAAATGCCCAGTGAATTAAGTTGCAGGATTTTTTTTTGGAATATACTTCCAAAGACCTCTTTTGAATGACTTACTTTTGCTTCTATTTGTTATTTTTCTCAATTTCATTATTACTATCAGAGGCACCATATTCATTTACTACTTGAAGGTTTTTTTCTTTTTTCCCAGTTTTCAATTTTGTCATACTTATATTCTTTTCAACAAGTTTATTGTTATGTATTTATTTCTGTTTCTAAGACAATAGAACTTGTTACTTTATGTCCAAATGATTTGGTGAAGCTTTGTGTGTGTGTGTGTGTGTGTGTGTGTGTGTGTGTACGCATGCACCCTGCTTTTGGGTGTGAGAGATAGTCTGGGAGATAGAGCTTGGATGCTGAAATGTTTGAATTTCCAGTATACTTCAATATTTAGTATGCACAGAGGTATAATATATGTGAAGTCAATATTGTTCTGGAAATTTGTGATGAGCAGTTACTACACATCAGCTTCTGACTTGGTTTCCTTGTCTTTGGTCTTAATGTCTTTATCTTTTCCTAAAAATCCCTATTAGTCTTATTAACTTTTTCTCTTACATGTTTTATATCATCTTCCTCCTTAGTCTTAGCCTTTCCCTTCAAATCAAAACTCAGGGTTGCCTGGGCACTGAATAAAGGCTACAGAGATTTGGAGCCAGGCAGAATGAAGCAGACCTTCTGGTGTCCTTGGGCTTATTTATCTATAAAATGTAGAAAATTGTGTATCTATAAAATGGAGGTCGTATAGTGGACAAGAATTAGTTATAAAGTAAGTACAAAAGGTGATGAAAATCACACCTAATAAAAATTCCTTTTGCTATTTATCCACTTGAGCACCAGATTAAATAGTACATTTGCATTTAGGGGACACATATGAAAAAACACAGTCTTTGTTTATATCTGGACTCACTCAGTGAGGTGAGGTGCTCACACTTTACATGTGGGATCTGAGACTTGCCTGTAGGACTGCAGATTTTTTTTCTGTAAATCTCATTTACTCTGAAATAGTCCCTCATTGAGTGAGATAGTGGCAGAGCCACTTTTATTATTTAAATTGTTCTCTCCTCCTCTTTTCTCTGCCAATCATGTATCATTTAATTCTTGTCACTTAATTGGGTATGTGATATGATTCCATTGTATACTATTCCTTGGAGGCTTATAAATACACTTAGCGGTGTGTTTTACAAAGCGCTTCTAATGCAAACCGAACTCTCCTCCCTTTTTGATTTTTTACAGACCTTTATTATCCTTTCCTCTTTTCTGCCATCCTCAATTTCCATCAATCTCATTTCTTGTTATTCTATAATGTGGGCTCTTAACTGAAATAATAAAATTTGTAGTTTACCAGGCAATGTGCCAAACGTTTTATAAACATCTAATGTTCACAATAGCTTTTGAAGGTTAATGCTACTATTCATGATGAAGGTGTTACCAACTTGCCAAGGTTACGCAGGCAGTAAGTGGCACCAGAATACTTCCCTGTTAGTTTACCTGGATCTCCCACCCAGATAAACTTGAGTGTCAGAAAACATGTGTCTCTTGTTACACTCTGTCCTCATTGCCTAGCCTAGCACTTGGCATGTAGTAATCGCTAAATATATGTAAGGCCTTCACTGACCTGCCTCCGTGCCCTTTTCACACAGTGTGTATACACACGCATTCATGCTTGTGTATACACACACACACACACACACACACACACGCATTCATGCTTGCCTATAGGCACAAGTATTAACTTCTCCTTGGTCTCCTTCCTGGAGTGTAAGCTCAATGAGGGCTCGAACTTTGTCTTATTAACCACTGGGGTTAATGCCTAGAACAGTAATCAGCACATAGTACAGAGTCATTCAGTTAAATAAGTTAGTGAACAAAGGAATGTGACTGCAGACTCAGATGAAACAGTTGACTTATTCTTTGGCCTATGCATTTAACTTCCCTCCTTCACTTCTTCCTGCTGTCTACTTATTTCCATTCCTTTAAAAAATAGCTTATTTAAAATGTACTTTTAAGTACCAGTAACAGACAATATTAAGCTCTTAAAGGGCAGGGACTGCCTCTGCCCTTTAGACTTTGTTTGCATTAAGCTTCCTTCTTGTTGCAGTTAGTATGTTGTTTTGTGAGAAGACATTATGAATAACTGTTCCTGACTGTAATAAGTGAATCTGTCTGTTGGTATCCTAGCAACCACAGTTGAATCTTTTTGTCTTAGTGAAAGATGTTAATGACCCTTACCCTCAGGCCCTTCTCCACTTGAGACAAAAATAATGGTCAGAAACAGACCTTTTAAAACTAAAGTAATTTTTGCTATCAAGCAAAATGCTAGAGAAGAACCTGACTTTCCTTAATAATTTTCACTGCTCCTTAACAAGAATAGAATTCAGATAAACTAAATTATTCTGTGAAAAACTGAATCACTCAGATCATGAAAAACCACTCTTTCAGTAGAGAAGAGATAAGTATGTACACATACATTCCAAGTCAAAGTGTGACTCTGATGGGAAATCTTTGTATAATACTCCGAAATGAATGTGCAATTTAAGGCAGTTTACTTTCTAAATGAAATTTATAGAGATTTGTTTCCATTTTCTGCCGCAACAATTTAAAACAAACTTTAGCTCAGTAGTTTATCAGTGAAGTGTTGTCTGTTGGGGATAGAGTTTAGAAGATTCCTATATTTAGTCACCGTACTTAAAAAATTATGTTGCTGTATTTTTATATGTGGAGATATTTTTCTTTGGGGATCAAATTGGAAAGATAAATTTCAAATTATATTTGTATATTAATAAAATTCCTAATTATGTCTTCTTCCAGTCCATAAGGACATGTAACAATTATCATATAATATTTTACATGGTTTATATGAGATAAAACAAAGTTGGAAAGGAATTGTTAAGTAAATACTGATAATTTTGTACCTTTATGCTTTTGAAAAGTTTTGAATCATAGACCATGAAATTAAATGTTAGTTGATCGATACATGTTCATGTTGTATTTAATAAGCTGATTAAAACACAGTTACAGCACCTTTGTATCTACAATCTCCATTCTTTGCTTCCCACTAGTTAAACTGCTGAAATATTTAATTTTCCTTCAAAGAAATCACAGTGTGTAGAGAGAAGATAAGGTATACTAAATGAAAAATTGGACAGCATATTGTTAGTTAAGCAATTTGTAAAATGAGTGTTAGAAAATAATCCCCCGTGTGGTATGACTCCAAAACAGAAGGAAGACCTAGGCAAGAGTCACAATGGAAAATAATTTTCTTTCATGCATTTGCAGTTCTTCTGCAGAATTTTTATTGACTCGATTGAGTGATTAGGATTTTCAGCCTTTTTTTTTTGAAAATTAAGAGCAGATTTTTGCATTTAGTATTATATGATAATTTGAAATGAATTTGTTTATGTGTCCTTATTCTTAAAAAGTTTGTGAAAAAGAACAAAAACATGTGAGGACATCACAGTGTAATGTTATTTCACAGCTTTTCTGTTCAAATACTGTTAAGCACAGTCAGAAGAAACCAGTTCTGGCCAGCCATGGTTGAGTGCTGCGCATGTAGGTGAAAGGCAGTGGGGACAGAACTCAGGCTGCCAAAGGAACCTGCCTAGTGGAATGAGATGGTCAGGAGGAGGAGAGCATTGTACGCGGGCACAGTTTGGGGAGTATATTTTTCTGTTTAGTTATTGTGGGATAAAGCGAGTTCTTTGGTTTGGGCTACTGTGATGGGAAATTTGCGTTTCTGGAGCTAAGATACTACGACATTCATTGCCTGTCCTGCCTCAGGGTGTGTTTGGTGTGTGTTACTTCATGGAATCTGTCCTGCAACCCTGAGAAGTGGTAAATTTAAATCCCATTTACCAGGTGAGGACAGTAAGGTTAGAGAAAGTGTAGTTATTTGTTCCAGGTCAGTCAGTCATAAATAAATGGGCAGAGGAGTGAACTGGATCTCAGATTTACCTGATTCTAAGATCCACGTTCTTTCCATTTTCTATACTGCCACTTAAGAGACTTTATTTAGTTCAGATGATGCTA